TATGGATGTATGCCTTGCATTGGGTTTTGTATTTAAAACCAGGTGTTTCACTCTGAGATGTGGTGATGTTGGCAATCCTTTGCACATAGTTGTTTTCTCTGAGCGTGAGTAGAATATATAAATAGTATTAGGGGCAAGTATATTAATATTAAACAAGTAAGCTTCTATGCTGTCAAACTCGAGTTAATTTTTTAGAATGCAGCCCAGCAAAACCCCTTCTCACAAGCTTCCCTGCCACCTGTCTTATGTAATCAAACCACATTGTACCTGCCTCTGATAGAGCCGAACAGTTATTATCCATTTGCTTGTCTGTCTTTTGTATTAAAAAAAAATTTTTTTTGTTGCAATCTAAAACCATAACTCACACATTTTAAGTTCTCTCATGCCTGTGTATTTTAAGTTGATCCCATCTCCAGCTGTGAACTGCCACTTCCCTTTCTGTTCCTAAAGATTTGCCTTTTCTGCATGTTTCATGGAAGCAGAACCCTAATAGGTGGTCTTTGTGTCTGACTTCTTTCACTTAGCGTGAGGTTTCTGATGTTCACAAATGTATCAGTATTTAATTCTCTTTATTAAAGCATTCCGTTGTACAGCCACACCACGTTTTATCTGTTAGTGAGCAGATGGGACATCTGAGTTATTTCTGCTTTTTGGCTACTGTAAATGTGCATGCCAATGATGTGGCTGTTTTCATTTCTTAGGTCAATATCTAGATGTGGGATTGCTGAGTCACGTCTACTCATCTTTGATTCGCTGACGCCAGGAAGCTCACTTGTCCTGAGTAGAGCATAGGACTTCAAACTGGCCCATCCGACACACCCAGAACTGCTAAGTGAAATGATCAGAAGGTATCTGTGAAACAGTGTCATGTTCGATCAGCTTTTCCTTGGGCCTTTATGCACACTGCCTGGTCCCCCATTCTCTAAGTGTTCACTTTGATCCTGTTTTGGGTTGTTGTTTTGTTTTTTTGCACATTGAGCAAACAAATCTGGTGGTTTTGATGGCCTAGTTTCTTGTTTCCAGTGGAGTCCCCATGTACACTCATGGACAGTGCTTTGTAAGGCAGACTATGCCACCACAAACCACAAGAGTAGAAAACTTGCACTTTAAGTTGTGTATATGAGAGTGTATGCCCCCCAAACCCGCAATTTTTTCAAAGCTACACATTTAATTTTTCTTACAAAATGACCTTATTACCTTCGAAGTACTCTCCATCACACTTAATATATTTGTCAAATCTGCGATCCCATTTTTGGAAACACTTCTCAAACTCATCTGTTTGGATGGCTGACAGTTCCTCTTTTTTCCTCCACCTCTCTACATCATCAAATTGCTGTTTTTTCATGTCCCTCTTCATTCTCGGAAACAAAAATATGTCCAATAAAGCAAGAACAGGTGAATCAGGTGTGTGGGGCAAGACAGGCATGTAGTTCCTTGCCAAGAACTGGCACACTGAGATGGCTGTGTGAACAGGTGCATTGTTGTGGTGGCAAAACCCAGTCTCCCGTCTGCTTCCAATCAGGCCTTTTTGTTGCACAATGTTTTCAGAACCTCTAAATAGAATGCTTGATTAACAGTCTGGCTTGGCGGAATGAACTCCAAAGGCACTATGAGTTAACATTTTCATCTGACAGACATTCAGAACGAGGGTTTGTCATCAATCAATATTTCACCTTTTTTGAAACAAGAAAACCACTCATACACTTGAGTTTTCCCTATAGCACTGTCTTGTAAGCTGTGTTCAACATCACAACAGTTTCTATAGCATTTTTCTTGAGCAGAAAACAAAATTTCACAGCTGCAAGCTGTTCTCTTCAATTGGACAGCACAAAAAAGCAAGGTTTGAGTGGAAGTGCTTTTACAAAAAAAATCACTGTAACCAGAGAGAACCTTCCCAGGCAATGCCACTGGGTGCACTAAGACAGAGTTGCTTGATGCTCACCTAGCCGGAAAAATGCATACTACAAAAACTCTGCCCAGCGCAATTCTATTTGGGGGGGGAGGGGTTACCCCTTGTACGTTATTACTCTGTGACTATTTCTGGTGAGGGTCTATGTAAAATAAACAGGATGAGTCTTGTTCAAGAAGTAGGTTGGGCAGAGTGAGGAAACAGGCTTTGAGTGTTAGATGTGGTCTACATGAGCTTTTGTTCTGAAATTTAGATGTTTCTATTAATACATAGTAAAAATGTTGTCCTAATGAAGCATTGATTCATTTTAACTTAGAAACAGGAAGCCTAGGTTCTTGCAACAGAAAGAAAGCACTATAAAGTTAAAGCTGTTAAGAGCCACTTGCTGTCAGCTAAAGGAGATTAGTTGAAGATCTTAGAAAACAAATATTCAACGAGTGTAAAATCCCTCTGAATTTCAAACCTTTTCTATACCCAAACTCTAGCTCTTTTTTAACCTAAGCAGAGAACAAATTCTGACTTGCATCAGAGTTTTCGGGTTATAAACAACCGCCTTTCTTAATCGGAGTGAATCTCTATGTTCTATGTCATTTGAGAAATGCTGATTTTCCTGTGGACCTTGGGAATTGAGGCAGGCTCCTTGAATATTTGAGAAGCTAAAGAATCTTCTGTCATCTGAGGGCAGTCACTGTTGGCACCAACAACTTCACAGGGCATAGGACACACGTTTTTAAAGACAACGAAATATGATTAATTTCAAAACTGAATGGCAGCAAAAAGGGATTCAATGAAATGAATCACATTTGTCGAAGGCCTGACACATACTAATCCATGGGGGTTTATCTGCTCTAGTTAGAAGTTTCCTATGAATAATTTTTCAGTAGTGGTTAATAGCATGGTCTCTGAAGCCTGAGGATGCCCAGGTTATAAAAATTTAAGTCCTTCTAACAGTTTCTAACCGCTGATCACAGGCAAGCTAGCTACTCAATTTCTTTAAGCCAATTTTCTCCTCTAAATACAATAGACGTTGTAACAGCATTTTATAAAGTTGCTAACATTAAATAATGTACACCTGCCGGTAATGTATTCTTATCTTATTATCTGACATTTCACACTTCAGACAATAGTAAAACACACCCACACGATCTGTTTGGCTCATTAACTACGTATATCTGGCAGCAATGAATTCAGAGGTATGAAGTGACAATAAATGCTTGTTGGGATGGTTATGTGTCAATTTGGCTGTACCACGAGTCTCAGTGGTTTACCAGTTATACAACAATGAAAATTTGGCAGCAAGGTAGTTTGGGAGATTTGAAGTCATTCTCCATTTTGTGATCGAAGGTAGCCATTATCCATGTTCACATATTATCCATTTGCTCTTTAAGAACCTGGTCTTTGGAACCTGACCACCTTGATAAGTGAGGACTTGATGTTTATGGCAAGTGGTACCTGGTAATATAATGAATGCCCAGTGAATGTCACACACTACTGAATATAAAACAGCATAATTTACAACACAAAGTTCTTTGAGGCTTGAAGATCAAAGACATGCTCTCTGATGAATGGCCTCATCACTGAGGCTTACTACTCAAACGTCAATAAGATGAAAATCCACAGCTATGAATCATTTGCTTTGGCTGAGTTTGGCAAGTTTGTCTTTATGGAATTGGTATCTTCCTCAGCAGTTTTCATTTTATTCATTTACTTGTTCATTCCTTTATCCACTGGGTAAGAATTTACTGGTACAATGTATGTGAAAATGTAAGGTTTATGCTTAAAAGTGAAAGAATGAATATATATTTTGGTGTCACATCTGTCACCTCTACTTTTTCTTAAGATACTGGGAAAGGAGGTCTACGATACATATCTTTTTGTAGTGGGCTATGTGTTGGGCTGCAAACCATATGGTCAGTTCAAATCCATTGACTGCTCCCAGGGAGAAAGATGAGGTTCTCCTTTGTAAAGATCTCAAACCAAACTCACTGCCATGGAGTCAATGCTGACTCATAGTGACCCCTGTGGGTTTCTGAGACTGTCACTGTTTTTTTGGAGTAGAAAGCCCAGTCTATCTCCTGCGGAGCTGCTGGTGGTTTTGAACTGCTGACCATGCAGATCACAGCCCAATGCATAAAGAGCTACAACCTGCAAAAATCCATAAGGGGCAACACTACTCTGTCCTAAGAATCAAAACAGATTCAGTGGTCCCTTTTTTTTTTTTGAAGTTGTTCCTTCAAATACTTTAAGTGACTGAGGGTGATGGTGGCATTGTTCTTACGCTTGTTTTATCTTCTGCACGCATCATACAGCAGGCACGAAGCCCACACCTGATGTACATGTGGTATGTGGCAGATAAGTAAACTTAATGTTACTTTCCTTAGTGCTGGGAGTTCTCTTGTGGAGGTGAGTAGTGATAGAAGAGTTTGTTAGGTCAGCAAGTTGAAAACAGTGTCTTTAGAAAATATTGGGCAGATTGTATAGAAGAGCTGGCTTGAATTTCCCCTCTTCTGCTTTTGCCTTTTGTATTGTACAGCATACTATGACTTAAAATGTCCATGCCACTTTCCTTGGAAAGGTGTCAAATACTAAGGACTTGGAATAGCTAGCTTTCATTAGGAACCCTACTGGCATAGTGGATTACCTGTTGGGCTGCTAACCACCAGGTCACCAGTTCAAACCCACTAGCCACTTCCTGTTGTGGTAGGGTTGGAAACTCAAAGGGGTGGGGTCTGCTGTCAGCAGTGCTGCCATGAGTTGGAACTGACTGGATGGCAGTAAGCTTGGTTTTCTGGTGTAACATTTGTTCAAATAAAGTGTCCTCATCTTACATGATAAAGACTTGCTGAATGGGCAGCTGTCTCAGGAGTGAGTTTTTCCTTCCTGTGACTGTAGTATAGCAATGGACTTGAGAGTCATTTGGAGCATACAGCCTGTCAGTAGGGTTATGCTAATTTTAAACTGATGCCATACTAGTAAGCCAACAGTGTCACATGGACAATGCCTACTTTATCGTCTTGAGGCTCTTCGAGCAGGGCCTCTGGGGAAGTCAGAACTGCATGGTCACTGCAAAAGCATGTTGGAGGCACAGGAGGAAAAAGCAGATTTTCTTTATTATGGTGTTTCTCCATATTTGGCATTGCTATAAATGGCTAACTAACATTTACTGCCAATTCGGTACAAATGTGTGGTTTGGTAATACCAGAACAGCAAATTTAAATGAAAATAAAAGTTAAACATTTCCATACAAGATCTTACAGTCTGACATTGCACTATGTAGTTAAAGACATTTTTTCCACTACAGATTATTATTCAGCGTGAATAAAAAAACTACAACTTTTATTTTTTAAACAGGAGTCACTGGTTTTAATTTTTACACATTTTAAAATTACTGTGATAAAAAATAATGAAAAAGCTTCTTAATAATGCCATACACAGTATAATATATAGATTTGTCCCCATTATATAGCATTTGTTTAATAATACAAAATAGAATATTGACACACTGGAATCTATATGTAATTAAGCAAATTATTTGAGGAGGGTTATTTTCAATATAGCCTTTCATCAGAAAATAAAATCTTTCTTTCAGGCATTTTCTAGAAAGACGCTAATCCTTTCCTGAATACCTGGTCACTAATCTTTGGCGGACCAGGCTAATTGAGAATAGTCTGGAAAATGATGAGACTTCCATCCACAGTGGTTTCAAGCACCTTCGTGACAAAGCTTTAATTTCCCTTCCAACACTGAAATCAGGCACAGCAAAACACACTCATCTACAGCTACACTGTCTGGGGGACAAACCAAGATGGAAAGCTCACCAAGGGCTGCCGTGGTGCTTTAATTGTGACCGATCAGTGTGTGACCATATTGTTCATTCCATGATGATGTACTTTTTTAGTGTATCTAAAGGGGGGAATGAAATAATACAATTGAATGATAGGCTGTACAGATGGGTAAAACTGGAATGGCGCATGCCCCCGCCGCCAATATTCTTGCCGGAGGCTAGCTTTCTTTCATGTGCATGCCCACAACTTATTCTATGCTCCGCACAGAGATCCTGTTACATTTCCCTCCTGGGGTGGTCAAAGCTCTTATTTACTTTTCCCTTTCAGGACCAGGAAGGTGTGCTTCGAGGTGCCCCCGTGTAATTCTAGAAAAATGGGCATATAATTGAGAGCAGTATTTCCTTAGCTCACTTCAGTTCAACTTGTACAGTATCCCAGAGCAAGACCTAAAAGTAAGGTGCCATTTTTTGTCCCCCCCACCCCCGCTTTCCCAGCATTATTTAAAAATACTTTATAGATTTGTTGTGGGAGTCACCTCAGCATGTCCTCAACTCCCACAGAAGCCACTACAAACTAAGCAGTCTGATGTGGCAAGAGCCCACACACAGAGCTTGAAGCTGCTTTCAAGTAGCACCGTGTCTTATTTTTTCTTCACTCGAATCCACAATTATACTAAAACAATTAAGAGAATTTCTTTCTTTCCCACATACTCTGAATGGGCAGCCTCTTTTTCTATCTAAGGAATAGCCTCCTATAGTTGTTTTACTTGATTTCCTGTTGACAACAAAATGTACATGTGTTTGCACAAAGCTATGTATTTTTACAGCCAAGGTTTTTGGAACCAAAGGTTAATGTATGATGTGCTTTCTAGGTTTAACCACATGGCATTCTGTACATGAACAATAATTCACGTTTCAGAAGCTCTTATTGAAGCTTAACACTGTCATTGAGAATGGTATTCAAGCGATATTTCATAGGCACCATTAATTTTCACATCCAGTTGGGCTACAAACCATCTTAAAATACTTTGAGATCAATTCAAACTATTACAAAAGGAACATTCCCTTTTAGATATCATTCAAAAAAGCAAATGATTACATTATTAAATAATTTCTCCAATACTGAAAATAACAAATAACATTAAAAAAAAAACATTTAAAAGGAAACATAAACATGTCCTCATTTTATCTGGAAATGAACTCTTATTGGAGGATAGAAATGAATTAGTGTATTATTGGCAACCTATGAGATTCTGCACTATTTACATATTGCTGGTACCTCTATGCATATTATTGCCAAACTTCTAAAGCCTCTGATTTTATATTAGATTGTTGATGAGGCTGTTATGTGAAAGTAACCCTGCTATTGAATGGTGCCTGTAAGTATGTAAGCACCATCTGTCTGTCACATTTACACATTTGCACACAGGGGGTGAGTAGTACTCTAGCCACCCTGTGCTGGCAGACTGACTCACGGTTGGAATGAGGAGGTGGTCAGAATGGGAGGCAGAGGAATTACTTCCTGTGATCGGATGGAGACGGAGCCTCAGCAACCTCACTGCACATAGGCCAATCTCCATTGCCCTCTTCCCCTAGAGCAAACCTGCTTGGTTTGTGAGACCATCGCTACCTGTCTGAATGCTCACACACACTAGAAATCATATAGGTTATCCATCAACATTTCTTTGACCCCTACAAAAAATATATAACATGTCGTGATAAAACAATCTCATCTAAAAATCATTCTTATTTTACACTATACAAGCTATTTTACAATCATTTTAATAAATTGCATGTAAAACTGCAGTAGCCCTTCCCTTCCCAGATTAGTGAATACCAATATGATATATATCTGAAACTATAACTAAATATAAAAATATATTAGAAGTTTCATATTTTTAATATTAGATTTTCAGTTTCCTATTACACAAATAATTTGGCCACCTTAAGTAGAAATCAAATTTCTTGTGGCTTAGTAAATATGTTAAGTTTTGAGTTTACAGAAAGTTGGTAAGGTGCACACAGAAAGGGCTACTACAGCTTCTAATTTGTTAAAAATGATAATTCTCAACAATGGGGAGGAGAAATTCATGACTGTGTTAAACTCTGGGACATGTAACGACGTGTAGTTTTACACACATGGAAGTCTGACATACAGTTCTACATCACAAAATCCTTAGCTGAGTTTCCCTGTACCAACAGGAAAGATAAACCAATTGGTGACAGATGGGAATGTGAAAATGGGTGTCTAGCCACTTTTGCCGTATTAGAGATGGATTTTTTTTTTTTTGGCGAGGAGTGGGGTGGGAAGCAAAGTTTAGTGAAAGGAATTAACTTGTTCTGATTTTAAATCTCTCAGCTGTGTTATAGCTGGTTATTTGAAACCTTGTACAAACTACTACCAAAGGTTCTGAAAGACAATGAGTTTACCAATTCTTTTGCCACTGAACCCTTTCAGAGAAAGTATAAACAGGGCCTCTTGGTAGTCCCCCCACACTCCCGCCACAGGTCTTCTGCAACCTCATCCAGTTTACCAAGCAGGCCATTAGACTAGGTGCTCTATACCAGTTAGGATGGATAATTTGCACAAGCTACAGAATTCTCCAATGAAGCAGATATATACAAAATATGAGCTGTTTTGACAAGAATACTGGAGATTTGAGTCGATTTTTGTGGTCTTCTGACAGCTAAGTGCCATCAGGGTAGAAGCACCAACCCATTTTCACACAGAAGATTAATGTTTGGAGTTTATTTAGGAAAGCTATGAACTAGCTGCCCATCTCAAACAGCTGTACAACAGGCAACTTGAGTACAAAAATTACTTAAGAAGAAATGAGCAAACAATGTTCACTGAATATAAAGGAAATTGTTAAAACCAGACAGTAATAGCTATAAAAGGCACAACTTCCCTTTTCTGATATACACTTGTAAACTTTTTTTCAGGTGTCCATGCAAAAATAAAAAAATTGCTACCTTAACTATAGAGGGGAAATACACCAACAAAAAGTCTAGAAAAATTTATCCAGCTAACTGAAAAGTATGAGCAGAAAGTGTGCAACACAGACCTGGGGCACTGGTGGTTCAGGTGCCATCCTTCTCCGAGAGTGTAGGTGAACCCCACCTTATTGTTTCAAATTCCTGGGACACACCAACTAATGAATTCCACTTTCTACTTGTGCCACCACGGAAAGTGATGACTCAACTGCTTCTCCTGCCAAGTCTTGGCCCTCTATAAACCACAAGTAGTGCGTGTTTAAAACAAGCACAGAAACAAGACGAAACAGACAAAAAGGAGGAGGAAAAACACTGCTACAGGACAAACTGCTCGTCTGTACAATAAAAGCGGTGAACTCTCTTTAAGGCAACCTTTCTTGTTAAGGCAGTCACTTTTGATGAAAAAGAAGCTTTTTGATATTTCCATTTGAATATTTTGATAACTGATTGGTGATGATTTCAGCTAACATCTCTGGGAACTCAATACTCATGGTTTTATCCAAAAATGTTTGGAAGCAATAGCCAAGGAGATTTTCAACCACCTGCGAGCAAGAAAAGAGACATCAATGATTAGTATTAGAAACTGATCCATAAGGAAATCTTATGCTTATTGACCTTTATTTTTAAAAATACTTTTATTGGGGGCTCTTACATCTCTTATCACAATCCATACATTCATGTGGTGTGTCAAGCACATATGCTACCATCTTTTAAGTTATATGCAAACTTCTGTGAGGTGACATTTCTCATAATGAACTGTAGCATGGACATATTCTAATTTGTGAGGTTAATCATAAAAATATGGAATTCTACCTTCAAAAATAGCTCTACTAAATCTATAATAGTATCATATTTTATCATCTATACTGGTGTATAAAAAGCCGAACTTTCCAGCACATTTTTAATGCAGTTTTTGTGGTAAAATTAGGTGCCTCGGCTGATATTCGGGTCGGCTTATACTCAAGTATACACAGTAGATGAAATTATTTCATAACTGACAATAGAAAAATATGCATACAACTGAAGTGTATAAATGAAACTAAAACCATTATCAAAATCTACAAAATGGAGATGGCGGTAATGTGTGAAGAACTATTGGTGTATATTATAAACACACACAAAGTTCATGGAAAAATGAAATGAAAATATTAATAGAATTTTTCAACAAACTTTTTTTGGGTCCCTTCATCCATAACCAGAACACACCTTATTTTCTACACAGATTTGGGTTTATGTTTCACACTTACATCATGCATGGAGTCCAGGAGCTTCGTCAGTTGGTAAAACCGCTGCCAGTTCTGACTGGAGTTTCCCTCCCGTTTGACGATGGCCTTTCCAAGCTCTTTGATGTAGGTCATTCTAATTTCATCAAACAGCTCTTGACTCTTCAAGCCTTCTTTAGGAACTGAAATGGTTAAAGGTGGAGTTTAATTAATAATTTCCTTGCTGTATCTTTACATATGTAGGACATTAAACAGCACACTTTACGATGATCATTCTAAAATAGAAGTATGACTTCCAAGAGTCACAGGGCTACAGCTGAGGGGACGTGAGATGAAAGCCGGAGAAGCTGTTGGAGCCACTCCGATGCACAGAGCCCCTGCATCGAGCAGAATGAAAAGCACTGCCTGGTCCTGGTCGTCCTCGTAACTGCTGCTGTTGGAGCCCACGGTTGTATTCTGTGTCATTCCATCTCTCTGAGGGTCTTATTTTTTAGTGACTACCAAGCATGATTTCCTTCCCCGGGAACTACTTCCTATTCACATATCCAGAGTACACGAAACCCACTATCCAGACTGTAGCATCTGGTTATACTTCTTGTTTGTTCATTCTTGCAGTCCACAATATTCAATTGCATTTTCTTCAGCCAGGCACCCATTCGAATGCATCTTTGGTTTGGTTTTGTTTTCCTTATTCTACTGTCCACCTTCCATATGCACATGAGATGATTAAAGAGACAGGTTGGCTCCTCTAAACCTCAGTCCATCGTCATGGAGCCCCGAGTCTTTGGCTGCATAACTAACTGCAGGTGTAAGATGAAATCTCATGAAGCCACACAAGACCACATCAGGAAATAAAAATTACTGTGGCAGTATAGTTCACAGAGCTGAACACTTTTTTCACTCCTTATAGCTAGAATGGAGAGGTCTCAATGAAATATGCCGGATTTTCAGCAGACAAACGAGATGGGCCACTCTTTAGCAATAAGGTTAAAGTAGCCATAGCCATAGAACAAAGGCTTCTTGAGAGCAGGTTCTCATGGGGTGGGGGAGGAGGGTGAGTTTGCTTCCCAGCAACGTTTGGAGATATAAGTGGTGATGGTATGTCTTTATCAAAAAGACATGATCCTGAATGATTTTTACACTGAATTAAGAGCTTAAAATTTATATTTTAAAACTTATGAAACTAAAACAATAGATAAATTCTCCATTAGAATTGGAGATGTGAACACACCCTTCTCAGTGACTGAGATAACTAAGACAATAGACTTGAAATGTTCTATTTTTCAAGTGTACATTGAATATTTACCAAGACTGATCGTAATCTGAAACATTAAAAATTCTGCATATTCAAAGCAAGCAGCAGTCAAGAAAGCAAACGATGTATTGCACTGGCTAAACATAATGCGAACGTTCTTTTAAAACTATTAAAAACCAAAGATGCCAGATTAAGGTGCATCTGACTCAAGCAATGGCATTTTAGTTTATGTCCACGTGAAAACTAGAAAATAAGGGAGACCAAAGAGCTGATGCCTTTGAAACATGGGATTTTAAGTACTAAACAGACATCATGAACTGCCACAGTAGTATGGCCAGAACCTCCTTAGAAGTGAAGACAGTGGCCTTTTCCTATGCACTTGACATGTTACCTGGAAGGCCATCATGCTTGGTAAAGTAGAGGACCAGTGAAAAGGAGGGACCACTCAATGAGACAGACGGACATACTGGCTGAAACAATTTTAAGGATGGCACAGGACTGGACTGAGCAGTTTTTTTCTTCTGTTGTATAATAGGGTTGCTATAGGTCAGACCCAATTCAATGGGGCACCTGACAAAAATAAACACATACAAGGAAAACTGACAAGAATTAAATGAAAAAAATAAGTCCTTAACTAATCTATCAGGAAAAATTCCCAAATATGAATTGAAGAAAAATTTGTGGTGCTACAAAAAAAGGTGCTTAGATGGAAATTTGCAGCAAAAAAGGATTATGCTAGGAAAGTCTCAATTGTCTAAACTTATACTAAACAACTAGTAAATAAAGAGTACATATTAAGAGAGAATAGAAACTCAGCTAATCCACAGAAAGTATTCACAATGGCAGGAGAAAGATGAGTTTTCCATTTCCACTAAGAGCTAGTCTCAGAAACCCACAGGGGCAGCTCTACCCTGCCCTATGGGGTCCCCATGCGTTGGAATCAACCCTAAGGTAGTGAGTTTGGTATATATATATATTAAATTTATATCATTTTTCTTAAGTCTTCCCTTTCCCATTCCATATACCCTTTACTTCCATTTCTTGTCTTATTGTATGAACTAGGATTTCCAGGACGCTGTTGAACAGCAGTGGTGCAAGATGATATTTTTGCTTTGTCATCCATTTTAGGAGAGAAAGTACCACTTACAAGTAGACAAATTTTTGGCAGATGTGTAGTATCAGATTGGTGACGTCCCTTCTATTTTTAGTTTTGCTGCATATTTTTACAATGAATAGGTAAAGGAGATTTTCCACATATCCTTTCCGTTTCTACTGATGATGATTGCTGTGATTACCCCCCCACTCCCCTCAGGCTGTTGATGTGATGAGCTGCATTACTGATTTTTGAATGGTGATCCATGTATATAGAAAAAAATCTCACTTGGTCATAGTGTAAGTATAATTATTTTATACATATTAGATTTGCTATTTTGTTGAGTCTTTTTTATTTTAGACTGATGTTAACCTTATAGGATGAGTATCATTTCTTCCTTAGATGTTTGGTAGATTTCACCAGTGAAAGCCATCTGAGCCTTGGGGCTTTCTATTTTAGACACTAGTTACTGTATGTACTTCTTTAAAATATCATGCCTATTCATACATAGTACCCTTCTCCCCTCTTGGAGTTTTGTTAGGTTGAACTGTTCCATTTCATCTTAAGACATCACATTATTTGGCCTAGGTCTGCTCATATCAACCCTTTATTTTAGTTAATGGCTATGGAGTAAGTGGTGATGAACCCCCTTTTCATCTCTAATACAGAAAGCTCTTATGAGAGCACTCCTGCTGGCTTCCCCTGGGGAATTTGCACTTCAGGTACTTTCCTGCGTCTGCCCACTGGGCTGTGGCAGGTGATGATGTAGGTGAACCTCAGGCAGGCAGTGCTTCCAGGGCCCATGGTCACAGGTTGGCTGTTCCCAGATGCACCATAGCAAGCTCCAGGAGCTCCACAAGTGGGTGGAACCTGCAGAGGCTGAAGGCTGAACTCTGAATTCGTGGTCCAGCACTGCCATGCAGGGTCCCAGGCAAAGCTGTCGGCCTACTCTGTGAGATGGACTTCAGAGAGCTCCAGAAGCATCAGAAAACAAGTCGATTCCAGGGGTCAGTATCTTGAGGACATGGCTGTGGGACTTCAGAGGGATGGCAACACCTGGACACTATGCAGAGGACCCTGGACAAGGTGGTGATGCTGGAGAACTACAGCACAGTGCTGTCAGTAGGCAACAGCATTACCAAGCCAGAAGTGCCCTTCAGATTAGAGCAAGTCGCAGCCTTGTAAGGAGAGTAAAGGGTCCTCAGACTGTGGTTCTAGGGGCTATTTCAGCTTCTTTAGTGTGAGTCACCTTGGATCCTTGGTGATCTTCACATGACGTGACATCTATCTTTATTGTGTTTGTGCTTGCTTGTCTGTGCTGCTTATAACTCAGCAATGGTAACGATTTAAGAGCCACCGTGTCCTGACATCCAAAAAGTGGATGAGCTGACTGAGAAGAACTGGGAAAGTCAAGGCAAACATTTGTGGCAAGTTTGTGATCATCAAGCACAGACCCTTTTCCTTTAAGGAAGGTGGCCTATGAAATGCGGTAAACCCTATTTTTCAATTTATTATAATAGAAACTATTCAGAAATGAGACCTGAGGGAATTAATGTATTTAAAGCCTTCTCTGTTAAGCTTCATTCAACGTATGCTAGAGATAAACCATTTGACTATGATCGAACTGGGGCATCTCTCAGTACCTTCTTCAACACAAATCACAAACTGTGCAGTGGGTTTTTAAACATAAGAGATCAGGGACAGCATTAGATAAAGAGGAAAAATTCTTTACATATAGGGAGGGCTCATGCAAGGGAGGAGTTCTATAACAGTGAAGAATAGGGAAAAACTTATCGATGCTCAAGAGAACTGACACAAGTATCAATGTAAATGTGATGAATATGAGAAAACTGTTTTTGGTGAGCAGCCACACTACAAATGTAGTCAAAATGGGACTAACTTTAGCAAAAAAATTATCTTACTAAAACTTTACTAGACATCAGAACACACACAAAAGGACTCACTGATCTTTCCTATTGATTTCCTGTTTTCAATTTTTATCAATTTCTGCTAGTTTTATTATACTGCTGTTCTTTTCCTAATTTCTTGCAAAATTTAAGAGTGATTTTAGTGTTTACTTCTTTCCTAATATATGCATTTAGTGCTATAAATTTTCCTCTAAGAATTACTTTTACTATATAATGCAACATATTTAAAAAATTTATTTTAAGTAATACATTTCTAAATAGCACACCGGCCAGATATTTTGGGTTATTGTTCTAGCCACCTTGATGGTTTGGATGCTCACTTTGATTGCTGTTCTGGAAGGTTCGTTTTATGGCTAGAATAAAGCCTATCACGATGACTTAGAGATGAATGTACACTTCTTGTTGGATGGACTATTTTATAACTGTGATTAGATCCAGGTGCTCAGTGGTGCTGCCCAGGTCAACCCATCCTTACTGCAAGAGAGGGTGAAAGGGCATAATCTCTAGTAACTGGCTTGTGTACACATCTATCACTTTTTGACTCCTACATTTTGACGTTACTAGGTGATATTTAGGACTATTATGGAATGTGCATCTTTATTCTTGCTAATTTCTCCAACCCCTAATGTTTTTGTGTGTGGTCTAAAATACATCTACTACTGCTTTTAAAACAATGTTGGCATGTTACATCTTTCTCCATCTCCTCACTTTTATTCTATTGTTTTCAGGTGTCGTGAGCCCTGACTCATAGCAACCCTATACACAACAGAAGGAGACAATCTCGTTCCGCATCATTCTGACAATTGTTAGGCTGGAGTCTACTGTTGCAGCCACTGTTAAATCCGTCTGGTCCAGGGTCTTCCTCTTTTTCGCTCATCCTCTACTTTATGAAGCATTTCAAAACCTTTTCCAGGGTTTGATCTCTCCTGATAACATGTCCAAAGTATGTTAGACCTAGTCTCCCCACTCTTGCTTTTAAGGAGCATTTTAGGCGTACTTCCTACAACAGATTTGCTTGTTCTTTTGACAGGGCAGTGTGCTTAAATATTTCTAGCTAACACCATACTTCAAATGCATCAATTCCTCAGTCTTCCTAATTCATTGTCCAACTTTCACATGTACACAAGGCCGGTGAAAACACCGTGTGAGGCACATGAAAGCTCTCGGCGATATCCTTGCTGCCTGGCACCTTTAAAAGGTTCTTTTCTAGCACATTTGCCCAAAGCAAGGTCACTTGAGTTAACGGTTGCTTCCATGAGCATTGCTTGAACGCTAGATAATTTTAACCTAGTTGTCTTTTAAGTGGGTTTCCTATAGATAATATAGAGTTGAGTCTTATAATTGGTATATTTAGACTATTTATACTAACAG